ATATATATGTGTGTGTATTTCAAATTGGCACAGGTTTTGTCACCCTTGTACTCACACATCATTGTGGTTCCAGTTTTGATATCTTACACTATCCTTGTAAGAGAGTCATATGTTTTTCATGATCTTCATGGATGATCGCTAAATATGCTACCGTTTCTTGTCGAGGATTCGTATCTGACGGTATAACAACTTCAAGCTGACACATCTGATACTTTCATGTGGAATAGGGCCGATCCTAGTTCTGAACTACTCTATGTATTTGATTACGCATTGTTTGGCTGAAGATCTGACTATACTTGCAAGTTGCACCACCATTTTCCCAGGGATCAGATTATCGGCAGCCTATGCAACTCGGCGGATATGTATTTCCGGATCGATTTGTAAACGCTTTTAACGCTCTTAGGCGATACTCCTGCTACCCCTCTCCCATTGCTGGGTTGTTTTCTGTCACTCCAAACGCTTATTCCTGGTATTCCTGGTCTCCCTTCTAGTCTCAGCATTTGGTACTTGTGGGACGGTTTCCAGTGCATGGCGTTATTACGGGCTTGGCCAAGGTGACTCTGATTCCTGGAAGACCCGATCAGCTGATAGTCTGTACCAAAGATGCCAAGGTGAGTGCTTGCATGTATTGGCGGTGACTGTGAACGGCCCTGTGTGTGTGTGTGTTCGTGTGCGGCGGCGTCTGTGTGGGTGTGTGTTCGTGTGCGGTGGCGTCTGTGTGGGTGTGTGCATGGGGTGTATCCAAGTAAAACAAGCAGTACATCTGCTCAGTGTGTCCTCACTGTCCTAGAGCGTGCTTCAATCAGACCCCATATTGTGTTCCGGATAAAGTAATACAATACAGATCGCAGTGGGTACTGCGCTGTATCCCGGGGTGACCCATTTTTCACTGTTGTAGGGCTCCCCTGTCTCTCCTGCCCTGCTTTGATCCGTCATCCTGATACATCATCGTTCGATTGTCGGATATAATTATCCGAGTATCAGAGCCAACTTGTCGAAACTCTATTGTATTTTCTTACCGTCCCACTTTCCCGTTCTACTTGCTCATTAACTCTCCGATTGTGTCCCTGTCCCAATTCTGGCCGACTGTCTGCTCTATCCGTCTTCTTTTGAGTCTTAAATTAATGCAGCAAAGGCAGTATCGTAGCTAAGATGCACTTTTCCGTTTTGATTCCAAGCACTGCAGGTACCCGTGCACTGTATTTATAACTAGGTATACCTACACTTCCATGTTGTTTCCTTCATACCCTCTAAACATTGTCATGTGACTGTGAGGTATATCAATAGAATGACTTAACCTCTTGCATACACCAACCGGCCAACATGCTGCTACACAGACCTCTCTTTAGGCCCCGTGGGCTATTCTCTATCACCCCCTGCTGCCCTGTCTTTTGCGGACCACGTGTCGATCTAATAATTGCATCGCTGCACATACTCTTTGGTCACCGTATCCTCTCATCACCCAATCTGTCGTGTCATTCGCGTGTCGTGTATCACGTGTCACACAAATAATGACATATATCTATCTACTTCAAACCCTGCGTGCCAATTCATATCCGTACCATTCTCCTGTTCCGTGTTGACACTGCTTACGTTCACGCATTTGTTTCCGTTAATCGTGGTTGCTCTGGTGTCAACTGTGCTCTAGGTGTCCATCCTGTCGTTTGATCGCTGTATACACCGACTGGTCAACGTGTCGCTGCACTGGTTCGAAGACGAGGCCATCAAGGTAGGTATCTAGTGCTATCAGGGAGGTATCTAGTACTACCAGGTAGGTATCTAGTACTATCAGGTAGGTATCTAGTGCTATCAGGTAGGTATCTAATGCTATCAGGTAGGTATCTAGTGCTATCGATTAAGGTAGGTATTTATAGGTATCTAGTGCTATCGATTAAGGTAGGTATTTATAGGTATCTAGTGCTATCGATTAAGGTAGGTATTTATAGGTATCTAGTGCTATCGATTAAGGTAGGTATCTAGTGCTATCGACAAGTAGGAGCTCCGTGTGTATGGCCGTTCAGCTCAAGTGCACGTTTGTATTGCGTTAGTAACGATTGGGATCCATGGATATGCACCTCGCAGGCGGTTGTATGCCTTGTAGCAGTACGAGCCATCCAAGCATGCGAGGGTGGTGAAGAATATGTGATGTTTGAAGCGCAGTGTATAGGGGGACTTTCAGTCACCAGACATAGGCAGCCCACAATCCTCGTGCGTGTAGGACCTTCGGTCGCACTCCGGCTATTGCGGGGCTGACCGGACAAGGCAGGGGTGCGCATGTTGTCAGCCAGCTAGCTGTGTGCGTGAAGCCAGTAGGTGCAGTGTGTGGTTGCGGTCTGTGGTAGTTATATCGCCCAAAGCGATTGGGCCGTTTGAGCCCCATGTGAACTGGTAGGCTTTAGGTATAAGTGGCTTCCATAGAAACAACCAAGAAGCGAGAGTCTATATTGTATATGAAGTGTATATGATGGCGTGTATCGTATTTCGCGCCTAGGAGATGGCTCTCAGGGCACAGATTCTGCATAGCTGTGCGGCTTTATTCTGATTCACGCATTCCCACGTGGTACGTTCTATTTATATCCTGTTCTATTTATATATCTCTAAATATAGAATGGTATGATGTCCAACCCCCACGAAACGATCATCTGCGTGGATCCCAGCAATAGGTGCTGCGTGCTGTACACATTCGGCCGCTGTCTCACCATCCTGCCGTTCAATCGAAAGGAGGACATAGGTTTTAACGACGAGATTGCGAACGACACATCACGGTACGTGGATGGTGTATGTAATCGTGTATATTATGGTAGGTGGATGGTGTATGCAATCGTGTGTATTATGGTAGGTGGATGGTGCATGTAAGCGTGTATATCATGGTAGATATCTATCAAGGTAGATGCATTGTGCGCTCGTGTGTATGTGGATTTGGATCATGTCTAGTTCATTCTGGTACTTGGTGTATGCGAGCATGTAATGCGTCTGTGCACAACCGCGTGTGCGTGCGTTTGCCAATCGAGTTGCACGGGTGTAGCGTACCCGAACAAACAGTTCATTTCAATAGCACACTGCAACCATGAAACAATGTAACAAGCGCATATCCCCATTGAAGCACTCACCCGAATGCAATACCGCGGATGGCCCATCTCAACATTTGTCCTGTCCTGTTTCACCATTTGGTCCATGGCCCCCGTCTGTGGGCGACCAAGCGCACAGGCGCGTGACGGAGTACCACACACACAGCCCCAGCGCGAACTAGACGTTACCACCACATCACAGTCAGTGGGGCATAGCCTGGATACAGTATACTACCACTGCCACACACTCCCCACACACCAAGCTATCCACACCCGTAATCCCACGTGACAAGCATGGGTAGGACTCACTCCATCCCGTTTCATCGAGTTATCTGTACCGCAATACATACACAGAAAGGACAGTCGCGTGATGCTGCACCACACGCAGAGCACACACGGCAGCAACGCCGTCACAACATCGCACTCGGTGGGACAAGATCTGAGTGTGTGGGGCGACGATGTCGGTGCACTCAGGCGCATGATCAGACCATCCTATACACGGCCCATCACAGACTACGACGCCCGCATACGCACTGTGCACGACATGGCGTTTCTCCACGGGTATGTGTAATACATGTGTGGGTGTGGGTGTGGGTATGTGTGTATGTGCGTGGTTTATAGAGCCGTTTTGGTATGTGTGTATGTGTGCATGGCATGACTGTGCATAGCATGGTTATGATATACGGATACGTTGAGTACATATGTGTAATTTATGGCTACTTTCTATTTGGGACTGTATATGTATGTATTGGTCACGGCATCAGACTATCAGGTACTGTATACCACTCACGCATACACCTGGACATGATCTGGCTTTTATTGTCGAGTATGTGTGTTATATTCATTACATTCGTGTATTTTATGGATACTTCTTGTTCTTTTATTGTAGAGTATGTGTGTTATATTCATTACATCTTTGTATCTTATAGATACTTCTTGTGCTGGTTTGTACACCCGTGTTTTAGTGGTCGAGTATGTGTGTTATATTCATTACATCTGTGTATTTTATAGATACTTCTTGTACTGGTTCTTTTACTGTCGAGTATGCGTGTTATATTCGATACATCTGTGTATGGTAAATATATTTTTTGTGCTGGTTTATATACCAGTGTTTTAGTGGTCGAGTATGAGTGTTATATTCGTTACATCTGTGTATTTTATAGATACTTTTTGTAAAGGTTCTTTTACTGTAGAGTATGTGTGTTATATTCATTACGTCTGTGTATCTTGTAGATACTTCTTGTGCTGGTTTGTATGCCTGTGCATTAGTTATTGCCGGCCATGAATCATGGACTACAACGTACGCACACGACTGTGACAGATGTGCCTGTCTCTCGCGGTTGCTTGAATTATATGTAACTGGGATTGACAATTGTGTCTGCATTTTTATGTGTGGTTATTTGAAGAAGAAAAACAACATCTGAACTGATTACGACACCCGCATACGAGCTGTGCATGATATGGTGTTTAACTACGGGCCGGCTATAATTGTGTGTGTAGTACAAAGCATTTTCTCTGGTAATACAACGAGTTCTTTTTCTTTCTTCACAAGACGATTATAAATAAGTGCATGTATAAATACAACAAGTTCTTATTCTTTCTTCACAAGACGATTATAAATAAGTGCATGCATAAATACAAGTTCTTCTTCGTTCTTCACAAGACGATTGTAAATAAGTGCATGCATAAATACAAGTTCTTCTTCGTTCTTCACAAGACGATTGTAAATAAGTGCATGCATATATACAACAAGTTCTTATTTTTTCTTCACAAGACGATTATAAATAAGTGCATGCATAAATACAAGTTCTTCTTCGTTCTTCACAAGACGATTGTAAATAAGTCCTTGCATAAATACAACAAGTTCTTATTCTTTCTTCACAAGACGATTATAAATAAGTGTATTTGTGGGTTGTTGTACATGTTATATGCTACAGACTACGACACATGCCAACACATATTCACTGAGAGCATATCTATGCACATACACACGCGCAGATTTTACCCTCATATATATGTAGGTAAGTCATGTTGCTGTAGTACGATGTGCTTCGATGCTTTGTGTGTGTACAGATGCTCTGAGCCACAACTGATAGTGCTCAGCTAAGCAGTTGAAGGTGTTTTTGACTGTCGGAAATATAAGGATACACTTGTATGGGCAAAACCTTTGAGTCCACGTATGGTTGTGCCTTCCGCGGCAAGTATGTGACACTTCGACACGCTTATGAATTGTACACACATGCGTACATCTGCAGGTACTTATGAATTGTACACACATGCGTATATCTGCAGGTACATATGAATTGTACACACATGCGTACATCTGCTGGTACTTATGAATTGTACACACATGCGTATATCTGCAGGTACATATGAATTGTACACACATGCGTACATCTGCTGGTACTTATGAATTGTACACACATGCGTACATCTGCTGGTACTTATGAATTGTACACACATGCGTATATCTGCAGGTACTTATGAATTGTACACACATGCGTATATCTCCAGGTACTTATGAATTGTACACACATGCGTACATCTGCAGGTACTTTGAGCCCACTTTGGTCGTGCTGTATGAGAGCAATGACACGTGGGAGGGTAACCTGGGCAGCCGCAGCGACACCATCAGCATCATTGCACTCTCGCTCAATCTGGTGGACCACCAACAACACGTATGTTATGTGCTGCCACATAGTGAGTGATACAACACGTATGTTGTGTGCTACTGTATAGTGAGTGATACAACATGTATGTTGTGTGCTGCTACATAGTGAGTGTTACAACACGTATGTTATGTGCTGCCACATAGTGAGTGATACAACACGTATGTTGTGTGCTACTATATAGTGAGTGATACAACACGTATGTTGTGTGCTACTACATAGTGAGTGTGTTGATACTTTGTTATATTTCCGCGTGTTAAACGTCTATTGAGGCCCTCAACTATGTGCCGTGTACATAGTAGTGCAGTATACGGACGTCCATATACTAATGTAGATAAACAATGCAAGGTTCATCTTATTACTAGTATAGATAAACAAGGCAAGGTTTTTCTTATTACTAGTATAGATAAACAAGGCAAGGTTTATCTTATTACTAGTATAGATAAACAAGGCAAAGTTTATCTTATTACTAGTATAGATAAACAAGGCAAGGTTTATCTTATTACTAGTATAGATAAACAAGGCAAGGTTTATCTTATTACTAGGATAGATAAACAAGGCAAGGTTTTTCTTATTACTAGTATAGATAAACAAGGCAAGGTTTATCTTATTACTAGTATAGATAAACAAGGCAAGGCTCATCTTATTCTGCCTATGTTTCTGCGGGTGGGTGGTAAAGCACTCTGTATGTACACTCTTATCAATGGGGCGGCAAGTTAATCCCATGCGAGTCTCCTGCGGATGCTTCCAGTACAAACGCTGAGGGTAGGCAGTGCCCTTGACTATCGACTATATAGGGCCCATTACATTCCCCAGACGCGTGTGCGCCTACACGAGCACCTATACAGTGTTTGTCTATAGACATACTCCCACATGACTTATTTAATGGTGTATCCCCCATCCAAGAGATACCAGCCACCTATACAGTGCTTGTCTATAGACATACTCCCACGGGACTTATTTAATGGTGTATCCCCAATCCAAGAGATACCAGCCACCTATACAGTGCTTGTCTATAGACATACTCCCACGGGACTAATTCAATGGTGCATCTCCAATCCAAGGGTTTAGAGATACCAGCCACCCTCTTGTGTCAGTTTCTTGGGCCGCTGTCAGTAGGGTATAGCTTGCAGCTCGAGTACACTAAAGTACTGATCCGTGGGTTGTGATTGAAGTTTGGGGTCTGAAGCCTTCGCTGCCTCCCATTCAACAGGTCATTTGGCACGTCACCGATCTCCCGTACGATCTGCGCCGCATTCAATTGGTACCAGAACCGCTGGGCGGGCTGATCCTTCTGGGGACCAACTCCATGGTCTATCTCAACCAATCAACGCCCGCCTACGGAGTAAGCTTGAACTCCAATATGGATGGGTGTACTAAATTTCCGCTCGTGCCGCAACCGGACGCGGTTTTGGCGCTCAATGACAGCGTCAGTGTGTTCCTGGACGAGAGCCGCATGTTCCTCTCAACAGCCAACGGTAGCATGTAAGTGGCTGTGTGCATGTATATGAACATATGTACACTATGAACAGCCAACGGTAGCATGTAAGTGGCTGTGTGCATGTATGTGGTTGTGTGCATGTAAGTGGCTGTGTGCTTGTATACCAACATATGTAAAGTTTCATTGAAGCTGAACGACAGCGCTTCTCTGCAGCAACGGTCATATGACAGTATGTTAATAGTTGTGTATTCGTGTCGGCTGCTGACACACACACACCACACAAGATACGTATGCTGGTACCTATGGTTTACCATGTGGTTCGGGAGGGATACACTGAGTGCATCTGCTTAAGATGGGGTTGTTGTTGTCGCCTGTATAAGCTTGCATGTGGTTAGGCACACCGTGGGCATGTCAGCGTAGCCTAATAGGGCTGTCTTGTGCTTTCTTCCGAACGTCTGGGCAATGGATCACGTTGCTAGGCGTGCACGTGTGTGTGCATAGTCCAGTACAACGGTGATATCTATCTACATGCTAACGTAAAACATCGGCTGTATGGACTCTCAAAATACCTGCCAGGCCTTTCTCTGCCATTCTGTCAAAATAGTTATAGGTAACCGTATCTTCGGTAGTCCCAATCACCCGTCCTTATTGATACTTCTAGACCACCCCATAGTCGCGTTAACCTCACTGGCATATCGGCCGTAGCCATAGTCAAACCCCCTGGATCCATCCCGCATCTTCGTACTGTACGTCTCATCATTCCCATCCGCAATACGTTCCCACACAGCTACTCGGTGGTTCTAAAAATAGACGGCCGCAATGTCATTGGCTTCGCCATACAAAAGGCCGGTGCCAGCGTGATACCGGCGTGTATCTGTGTCATCACCCCAGGCCTACTATTCCTGGGGTCGCGTTTGGGAGACTCCTTGTGCATGACCTATGAGGGTAAGCCGATGTGTCTGTAAGCCTTCAGCAAATGTGTGCGTGGGGAGATGCCTATGTGTGTCATGTATGTCGGTCTTACGCATGTACGCAGCCAAATGTCTGGTACAAGCGAGCAAGTGACGGGACCTGTGTGACCATGGGCGTAGCTCGTAGGTATGAAGATAGGGAGTGTGCTATGATGTGATGTGTGTATGAGCGTGTCACATGTTTGTGTGGGCGTATGTATAGCGCGTGTGCTGGGCTGGTGTGCATATGCTTCCTCCTACCAGGCATGTAGTTGGTAGACTCTGTGTGTGTCCCGTGTGGGTGCGCATGGGTGTGTACAGTGCTATCCGAATGGGTCTGTGTAGCCGAGACTATACTTGCCAGTAATCTTTGAAATGGAGACACCTTGTTAGAAAGAAAGACGAATCACTGACCACAAAATCAGCGTACCGATGATATCTCGGTGGATGTGTTGGCATATTTAAACACTTTAGCTTGGGTCTATTCTAACCCCGGTAGGCGTGTTACAATACTTTAATTACACCCTGCTATCCTAAAGCTTCGTAGACGTGTTACAATATTTTAACATCACCATAGTTTGGGTGTGTTCTAAGCTTGTTTTGTTGGTTCGGGTGGCGAACGGCAGGCACGCTCAATTTTTCCTTTCAAAAGGACGAGTTTGCAAACACGGGAACTCGCTTTGGCCACACACTTGCATGTTTATCACAAGAGTGCGGAGGGCAAGGGGTCTGAATACGTTGATCTGGAAATATAACGTTTTGATTTGGGAATCTAAATCTACCTACAGACACGCTAGACAAGAACGATGAGGAGGCAAACGTGCATCTGCTGAATGCACTCAAAATGGCTACAGCGAGCACCAATGAGAACGGCGGAAAGTCGAAGGAGAAGAGTGACTTTAGCACGAAACGATTGGCCGAGGGTGATCTAGATGATGATCTGTTCATCTACGAAGTGGACGATAAGGGCACTGAGCACACGGACGATTCCATTCTGAGCTTCAAGGTAAAGGGAGAGATGGGTGTATGGATGTAGTTGGGTCGTATCTGATTAAAGAGAGAGATGGGTGAATGAATGTATGGATGTAGTTGGGTCGTATTTGATTAAAGGGAGAGATCGGTGTATGAATGAGTTGGGTCGTATCTGATTAAAGGGAGAGATCGG